TCTAACAGTGTGTTACACTTACTTTGTTTTCAAAAATGTTTATCACACTCTCTCTCTCTTTCTCACATTTATAAATTATTGTACACACCGAAGAATTCTCTTGAAATGTCTCTGCTGTTTGTCTTGTTACTCATGTATAATCATTATTATTAATTATAGGTTATACAATTAAAGTGATAGATACCTATAAAATTCTTATATAGGTACATTATGTTACACATACATACATATACATATATGTTTGTAAGTTAAAAATCAGAGATGTTTCAGAGGCATTCCATATTTCTTCGTTTGCAAGGGATTATTACTATTATATATTATTTCAATCATCACAAAGGACTGAATGATGATCGAATAGATTGAGAGAAATCGGAAAGTCTTCGTCTGTACTTTCTACGTTATACAATTCAGTTGTTGTTAATTTAATTTACTTGATGTTAATTACATCAATTCGCGGACGCTCACGCGAGCGGAAAACGTACATGCAACAATTATGCGAATTATAGGCATCATATTTAAAATATTATGCGGTCATATTACGAAATTAAGCTAATTAATTCTCCGAACTCGTCAAAAATTATAGTTGCTCGCTATTCGAAATGCGAGATCTGACAATGATTCGTGTTATTTTAAGGCAAAAGTTGTCCAAAAAATATTCAAGTTCTTTTCTCTAACATTATTTTCTGTACACTTTCTTCAAGAAATCATATAAATACTAAAAAGTCTCTCAAGTCTCATTTTAATGTTGTTTGTTCGATTTTCATTGATCCTTAAAAATTTGTGATCGTGTAACTTATCTTGTATCAGGTCTTTTATCCAGAGCTCTTTTTTAATAGAATGTCGCATTTATTTAAAAAGATAACTCTAATAATTTTGAAATTTTTATACTCGAAAAATATATCTGAATCGTTAAGTATACTTAAGATATTCTCTTAAATATTTTTGTTTTACATGAAAATGCGCAATTTTTTAAATTCAATCAAAATTCTAGTAGAAAGATTCTATGATGAATAATGATTTTCATAACATATTTTTCTTTATAACAATCGCCGCAGAAAATTCATAATTCGAATTACAATTTGCGGAAACGTTAGAGAATAGCGAAATATAATACCAACACTATATATGTATCGTGCTTCTGACAGCATATTATTACGCCATAAATTTTATGTAGGAAGAGAATTGCTGGCCACCAATAGAGTACTGGTCAGGTATATTATTATATACATTATTATATAAAAGTGTTTATGCTTCCGGTAACTAACGGTTAAGAAATTTGCAACAAATGAGTGAATCAATTTGACTTCATAACAATAACAATAACATTCCTTATCATTATTGTATTTTAAAGCATATTCGATGTTTTCCAGAAAACACATTTTTCTTTGTACCAAAAAAATATCAATGCTATTTATTAAATTTGTTTTTTCTTTTTACCAAAACAATCATGACTTCTTAAATTATGTATATGGGACTGTTAATTTTACAATCGCATTGCCTATTGTTCGTATTTTTTCTCTTTAATTTATCCTTTTTCACATAAAAGCGTAAATGTTGAAAATTTTTAATATAAATTCTGTCAATTAAAAATTAGGAAAACACTTTCATATTGCGACAACTTATATGTATACATGCATATGTGTCTCCTATATGTATTTTCAAATTGTTTGAAAGCACATTCGCGAAAGAAAGAGACATTTTTGCTACCATGTTTCCGCACAAATTTCAAAGTATATTGATTGGTCGAAATGTGCATGAGGGCCGCGTGCTGTGTTCTATAAAAAGCTCTGGTTTACGATATGTAACGTAAGTTATTTATTCGAGCATGTCTGTATACATTAATTACTGCTTGCCACAATAGGACAAAGTGGTACACATACGTTTTTCAGCTTTTTCTTTGCGTTGATATCGATGTCGATTAACCCTTAAATGTTATCATCTGCAACTAATCAATATTAAATTAATAACATGTGAATATACATGTATATTTTTTATTTTAATATTTTTCTATGCCGAATTTTAATATAATCTAAAGCCCTACCAACTTTGAACACATTTCGAATTTTACATAGAGTTCAATATCTTTGGAAGAATCTTTATGACAACGCGTCTCGCGATCGAGAAAATAAATCTTTGGAAACAATTTAGGAAAACTTGACACATCGATATCAATATAATTATACTTAACATTTTAAATATATTAGAGAAAAGAATATACCGTGCAACATAATTTTTGTCCCAACATTAGCTCTCTTTGGCGAATATGCAGGTAAAAAAAGGCTACAATAAAACTTCTCTCGATGATCTCATTTAAGGGCAATCGAAACGAAGCAATGTTCTCCAAAGAAAACACACGTTATTCTCTCAACTACGTGCACACAACTGCTACTTATCAAGATACATTCCACTTTTCTTACTCTTAAATCTTACATATCGTTCTCACAAAAAAGCGCGGCTAAACTTTATCTTTACAGACTTTTTACCTGTACAGAACATTTTCTTTTTTTTCAATACGATAAGGACAACGGTTATATAATATATATTCTACGGCTTGTTCCTTTAAAATATTTATTTCTTATGTCAAATATCAGATCAACAGAGTTTAGATCTATTATCCACCCTACTTGATTTCTACTTGATTTATTATACGGAGATAAATAATGCTTTTCCTCTCGAGTGGTCAATATACGCACATGATACATTTATATATTATCGCAATGAGGGGGTTGTGATGCTAAATTTTCGCGTCTATTCCGCTGCATACACACTAACACCAAAAGGCTATGCTTTTTTACAGAAGTATATAGAGAGTACCATCACATTTCGCTATAACTCTCGATTTATATTGTTCATATTGTTATCGATAAACTGGCATGACTGTATTAAAATACAATTGTAAATGAAATCAACAGATTGCATTATATAATGTGTCGTTTATAAAGTGTAATACTTTAAAGAGACGATTTATATAACATTTTCATAACTTTTTTTACGCGTTTGCCTTTCTCACGCACGTTTACCTTCTTTCTCTTTAGAAAAACTATCAGAGAGGCAAAAACGTATGCAGAATCATACAACAAATACGTAGCAAGTGTCAACTTGCCTTTATTAAATGCTTAAAATTCGTTTCACATTCGCGTATGATTTCTTGTCTCTCTTTCTCCTCGCCAATCATTCTTTTCCAGAATCATTGTAAACATGTCAAAGCCGCTCTTTTATTCGCTCTAACTCTACTGTTATCCTTTCCTAAAATCTATACATGCAATGCTTAACTGTACTTTATATGCTTTTTTGCTTAGATACACGAACGCCGTTTCTGGATCGCACGACGGTACGATTATGCATATTTTGAGATCACGAGCTGGAAACGTCACGTCTTGGTGCAGGCTCCTGCAAAGGAAAAACCTGCCCAAAATCCGTTTAAGACACCAAACTCAAATAAACCTTGACACTGTAACTCGAAAAGCTTTGCGCTGTTTCAAAGAGCGAGGAGCATCGTTGGATCCGATTTAGGTTTGTAGTATTTCTCGCGTGTACTCTCTTAAAACTTTCGGCACACCGTGACAAATTATTACGTATAAACATTTTTTTATGTTTCAACAAAGAAAGAGAAAAGTCTCTTTGTTATACAAAAAGAATGCAATTTTCGAATATTGAAATTATACGAAATATTAAAAATCGGGAAAATATAATTAATAATGTTTAATTTAATAAAAGTTTCAGCATCAATAAAAATAATTCTTCTTTTAACCTTGTGTTGTTTTTAATGAACTTATATGTTATCTGTTTTTATTTTTAGTTATATAAAAAAAATGGTTTCTTTGTCTCTGTTAAAAATGACGATTTTTTTATTTACATGAAATATTTCGCGAATCAAAAGTGCGATTTGATGCGACATTTACGAGGAAATATCAGAAATTTATGCGTTGTCGAGGATCAGAGTAGCAATCAACAACTAACAGGCGCTATTAATTACTTGGCCGTCCTTATATCGTTACTCGCTGCCGAACAACGGTAGAAGTTGCGCTTATAATCTGGAGCCTTAATCTAAATCTTATTGAACTAATGTACGATCGACGATATATCCGTCCGTGTCGTACGAGTCTCTTAATAGCTAGGGACTAGAATCAACTCTTCTGACCTTTCTTGCAGGTTGAGAATGTCAACGAAAAATTTAAAACATAACTGAAACTTACGTCTCTAATCATTTTCAATATATACCTTAATGTTTACTAAACGCGCGACGAGAATTTTATTTTATATTTCATGGATAATTAACGGAGATCTCTCTCTAAATTATGTATCTCTCGCTCGAAATCTCGCGTATAATTATGCCACTAGTACGGTAGATCTTAATCCTAATATTTGGTGATGCTGCTTTTCTGCCACAAGTCGGTACTGTGTTGTGACCGACCGGAAAAAGGCGAAAATAAAACGATAACAAAAACGGAAACTTACATCTCTAGAGATTGTACTATAACTAATGCTATCGCGCTTAGAGATTATTAACACTTAGATAACGAATACTATTAAAGACTAGACGTATCTCTCGCAATCTTATGAACTTATCGCATTCTCATTGAGCTAATATGATAATATTACCCACATACGATGGACATTTCAATATTGTAGAATTGTCGGTACCTCATATATCATTGTTGCCCGCTATCCTATAGAATATTTTATAGAACGCACACGAGTAAATTGATTTATATACTTAATATCAACTAGCGACTAGATAACGGTATGCGTAGATCCTCTATAAGCTCAAAAAACAATGAGATATGCTTGCGTCTATAAAACCATAACGGCATCTAACAAATCATTGCTCTCTGATCGCAACGACAGGATAATTTAATGCAACGTATATGTATGCGTTGTCTGTATCTTTCTCTTTGCTGCGAATAATATTTCCTTCAAGTAATTTATCAAGAGATACGATAACATTATTTTATTAAATTTACGATGAAATTAAATCTTTTAAAATATTTAAATAAATTTTACATCATGTTTTATGATCAATTGATAATCTAATAATTTGTGGAAATAGTCAGCCTTGTGATAGATGGAAAGAAGAGTTTTGGAAGCTAGATTTAAATAATTCTGATGCAAGTTTTTGGACGGAAAATGAAGTGTAATATTTACGATCCGACTGTTTAAAAAAGCACGCGAATGTTTAATCGTCAATAATGAATTTTCATTGTTATAATCGCGATTCAAAATGTCGATGAGCCTTTGAAACGTCATCATGAACGTGTATCACAATGAACACAAAGCTTTCCATCGCGAGTGTTACGACTTAACAAGCTAAACGGAACGAAAAAGCGGTATTGTCCTTCCATTTTTCACAAATTTTCTTCTTTTTTTACTTTACTTTTCATTATAACCACTATAATTATCGCGCGCGAATACGGACGAAATGCATCGCGAATCGCCTGCTTGTAATATTATTTTGCTACGTCTTACAGATCCAATTGAAATAAAAGCATCATCCAGTCCTAAGAAAATCGAATAGATGCGAAAATGTCTAAAAATCAAGAACAATCTCCCTTTATTTTTTTTCGGTGAATGAAAGATCTCAGACGATTTATTCTCGCGATCTACGTGACTCTGATCGTACACAGTTTTAGGATAATTTGCGTGTTCTTGTGTGCCACATTTTTGAAGATGCTTCCTGGTAAATCGACTGAGCTCAGATCTCTGCTGACCTGCTTCCATTTTATTCGTCCATAATTTCGAACGTTAACTTAACGCGCAAAGTTATTACGCTCTCGCACACATGTGCAGAAAGAGATTATCCGCAATTTATCGGCGATTTACAAAACATCCCCGCGTTCGCGCGCACATTTTCTCTCTGTATACAGATTAATACATGATACAGTATTTATATTCACGTCTTATAAACGACTAGACTCGGCCATATGCTCCTCACCGATCTCGACTTACGTAACGCGTCCTCTTTAGTTTCTCTTGCGTCTCTCTTTTGCCTCCCTCTCCCTCCTTCTTTCTTTCTCGTCTCGGCGGTATACGCTAATTATTACAGTACGACGTTCGATCCATGTCGATCCAGCGACCGAGATTATTCGCATTACTCCGAGGAATCGGAATCAGATTCGGCTGCCGCGTCGGACGCCTCGCTGTGAGCTTCCGGCGTGCTTTCCGGTATCTTCTTCGCGATTGTCGCCGCAACGTAAGCACCCGGCCCTTCGCCCTGCGTATGCTCGATTCCCACCCTAAGTAATGTTTAATAAAAAATATAGGCATTATACTCGAAAATTTAAGATTAAAGAGCGACAAGAAAAAAACCCTGAAGAAGATAGAAATGAACCTTACTTGGAATCGTTATTATATTAAGCTCTTATCTGGAGCTTCTCATTTCGGAATTATTATGCAACTTGAAGGCAAATCTTTCGCGAATAAATACACCGATATATTTATCGTCCTTTCCTTATAAATCAATATAGGAAATAAATGATCAGATTTGAGCGGCGCGAATTGACATATTAATATCGAAGCGTTTTAACGTAATGGCTATTTAGAAAATTTTTAGTTTACGTAGTTTTCATCGAGATAAAACCTCTGGACTTACCTGTACTCGTGACGCGATAAATTTCGGACATACTTCTCCGGAGGCGAATCACTGTCGCTATTTTGGAGACTGACGCTCCTCGCGGTGGTATGGGAGACCTGGGTCGCCGGCATCGTGAACTCCACGTAACAGTACTCCGAGAGATTTTCGGGGATCTGATCATAGGATGTAAGAGCCATACGGCAAACCAGCTGATGCGTCGTATATGCGCCTGGAAATAAAACAAAATTGGAAGAGAGCCAACAAAACTGGCTCGAACACGCAATATATTCAAACTGCAGCTTCTGCTGATATTTCCGTTTGTGTCGCGTTTTTTTTTATATAGAATCTAAATAAATATTATTTTCTATCAAATATGTTATTAAGATATTTAGATTTCCCCAAAAGATCTAATTGCGGAAATCTTTTACAAATATTAATTATGAAGAATTGATAAAATTGACCAGTGTTTCTCTTTAAATAAAAAAATGCAGGCAGAGAATACCTTGTCCCTCTTTAGGCAGCCTAGGCATCCTCCAGACGATAGCGCGATGCTGATGTTCGTACTTTGCCTGACCGGAAGTGACCTCCATTAACTGCGGTTCTAACGTGTCGACAGCACCCAAGAACCTCTCGATACCCTTGATCTTTCCGGTTCTCCTATGCGCCGATTTCACCGAGCCGTACCTGAAGTGCTTCTCGACTCTGAAGAGGTAAATCCAACATTCGGGTATAGGAAAGCGAACCATCACGTCTTCGCATGGTATTTGGCCCAGTTTCCTGGATGCGAAACCCGGCACGAGAATATCCGCTCTCAACTCCACCTAATAACACGTAGAAAGAAGTCAGACAAGTCTACGATTGCAGAAACTAAAATTGGAAAACACGAAGAAACTTTAATGGAAACTTTTTATCAAACTTTTATTTCAATGGTACATTTTTATAATAAAATAAAGAGAAAATGACAATGAATACGACAACATGATGAAACGAAAAATACGTTGAAAGATGTATTGCTAAAAGCAATGAAAACTACAAGTTTTAGTTTCTATTTATATAAATATCGAGAGAACGTGGAAAAGTTTAAAAAGTTGAAAAATTATGGAAAATAAAGCTTACCTTGTTCCCAGTAACGCACATAACAGCTTTTAGCTGAAGCGGCAGTTCTCTGTTTTTAGGCGGCCTTACACGGAACCGCATCAATTCAATGTAACATGCATCAGGCGGCTTGAACCTTAGAATGTGTTAGTGCAAATTTAATTATAAATTGAATTTACATATAATTTCACATGCATATTTGCAGATTAAAAAACAAATAAATCGTTAATTAATTAATTTCTTAAAGCACACACACAAGAATATATATTAAATTTCATCCACACGTAAACATTTAATTTTATTACAATCGCTAATACTTATTGCATTATTTTTATAATTGCACAATTAAGGAATCGTTAAAATTATTAGCAAAGTCGCATTTATCTCTCGGTTTTATCGCAATAAAATTTCAACGGTATACATACTTGATTATCCGCGATTTTTCATACTCGTCCTGCTGTACGCAGGAGTGGAACTCGACATTCTCCAAACGAATCCATTCCTCCGTTACGACCGGAATAATGTCGTGCCTGCCGACGACTTCTTTACCTTGTCGCCACATATCATTTATTCCTAATTCTATGTCAGGCATACCTAAAAGAGATCAAATATTTGTGCTACATTAGATTCAAATGGAGGAAAAAATAAGAAAAAAATTATTATGACGTAACTTATGCGAGGAAAGAAAACCATCTCATATATGTATTCATAATATCTACCAGAAAGGAATCCCAGGAAGAAAAGACGAACACGTGCGATCTGTTTGTCTACGTGACCCTCGGAACTTTGCTCAACATACAACTCGTCTACGACCGTTATCTGGACTTCTTCCATTTTGTAATTTAGTGCTCGATCGCGGATCGCCGGTAACCTGAAGAGAGCCTCTTCAATGGCGCAGGAGAATTGTTTCATGTCCTCGTAACATTGGGAACCGAGTTTGAATAGCTGCGAGATCTGTGAAATGTTTAACGGAAATTGATATACGCTCGTGATTTTAATTTTATCATTATAATATACATAATTATTAAACATACTATAAATTAAAATATTTTATAATGCAATATAAAGTATTTTAGTCCTTTCAATATATTGAAAAGTAAAATAAAATTGAAAAGTAAAATAATTTACCTGAGGTGCGTGTTCAACAGGAAGACCCAGTTTCTTCAGATCACTGCCAAACTCTTTAACGCCCTGATAGTCCCCTTGTATAGCGTAAGCCGCAAACTGGCTCAGCTTGTTCGTGATCCTTTCCGCTTTCGTAACCTGGCCGGGTCGCACGCCCGGCCTCTCCTTGTAGAAGATGTATTGCAATTTCACCGTAAAGATCTTTCCGTACTGATCGAATTGCTGGGCGCCGATGTCCGAAACCGAATAACAAGTGAGCAGAGGTAATTCTTGAAACGGATCTTTATCGTCCTTATTATTGAATAGCTGGAGGATTGGACTGTCGGCTTGATAAACAAGTTTGACGAATATCTTCTTCCAGAATCGTTGCCCTGTGATTTTCTTCTTGTTCGGCTGTCGCAACTGCATCTCCCAACCGTCTCCGATATAAGTTACCCTCGGAAAGTCCTCGAGCGGTTGACTAACGTCCTCGTCGAATAAAGGAGTAGGCGGAGTTTCCTTAAAAATTATTTTTTTATTTTTATGTGTATATAAATATATATATATAATATATATAATATTTTTATGTGCATATTTATTTTAGCTTAAGCTATATGACTTTTCGATTTTTTAAATATTATTTTAGTGATGTTTATTCAAAGAAAAATAAAGTATTGTATAAAATGTAGTAGCAATAGAGAGAATTAATTTAGAGGAATGCGAGACGTAACGCATGGTATTAATGCGTGAATACCTGGGAATCTGTCCTAGCCATCTCGGCTGTTTGAGCGGTTTCGGATACCGCAGCATCCTGCGCAATTCCGGATTTATCGAACGGATTGAAACGCGGTGAGGAATCCGTGTACGCAACCACCTGCGGACTCTTAGGCGGTGGTGCTAAGGTAGGTACAGGCCCGCTTTCTGTCATTGCCATCTGATCCCCTTCTTTCGGTCTTAGATGAATCAAAGATTAGATATGCATTAGATAAGCATTATGTATAATGAAGAAATAAAAATCTTATATTTTTGAATATAATCTATGCAGTAATTCAGAGGAAAGATTTCATGAAAATTTTTAGATTTCCGGCAATATTAAATAATTGTGATTATTATAGACTCGAAATTTCTGATTTGGAATAAATGATTACGCTTTCTTCTCTCACTCACTTGATAAATACACTGAAATCCGGTCCCTCATCCGACTCTGCAGACTCGGCCCTCTTCACTTTCGTGTCTGGCGGCGGAGCTGTCATGCTCAAGAAGGAGTCGAAACCGTCAGATTCACCGAAACCGGTAACTGCTGTTTCCGAGCCAGCCACTGATGAATCTCCCCAAACTGAGAAAAATAAAATCGCAATAAGTAATTAGGTGCATTCTATTTAAACTTGTAATCCTCGTGCATTTCGTGATTTATCTACCATCGCTAGAAGTGTCCATGGCGGTCGGTCCGCCACCGAAGGCATCCAGGAAGGGATCTCCCCCGTTGATTTCCGGTTCGGCGGCTTTATCAAACTTGGATGCAAAGGCATCGAACGAATCGCCGGTATCCTCGATCGCCTTAGTCGTAGCGGCAAAGTTATCCAGCTGCTCTTCGGGTCGGTAAGCTTCATTGCCGGGAAACTCTGTTCCAGGAATCGGACTAGTGGATATTAGACCGCTATCAATCTCTTTGGTCGATTCACCGAAATCACCCAGCAGATCCGAGGCGAAAACATCCCGAACGGGTTGCGTGATCTCTGACGTCGCGAACAAGGGCTGAGCAGTCGCTGCAGCTGCGAAAGGCGCGGAGGTGACTTCAGGTACACCGAACGGCGTTGCTGTGGTAGTGTCGGTCATGGAGAAAAAGTTGACATCAGTATTGGCAGAAACTTGCTCTTCTCCTGAATGAAAAAGAATGTACAAATAAATTATAAATCGCTTGATTATTTATATAAAATTTAGAAAATATAATAATTTAAGTAGTTAATATTATTTAACTATCACAAAAATTAATGTTTCATTTCCAATACTTTATAATTATTATTTCTTTACTTCATTTTTTTTTTTTTAATTCCAAGAAAGTAGAAACAATTTTTTTCTAACCAACCTTGGAAGAGTTCAGTAGCCGATGCAGGTTGAACAGGAGGAGCAGGTTCCGTGAGATCTAAAACAGCGCTAGGTCTTCTCACTTCCGTTTCGATATCCGCAAAAGGACTGGAAGTTATCGAAGGCCGTTTTTCACTACTGACGGTATCCTTTGGATATTCCATTCCGAAAGCAGGTTGTGCTTGGGAGACTGGAAGCGCCGCTTCCTCGCTCATACTTGCGAAGGGATTGTCTTGCATGGCGGTTATGCCAGTGACGAGGCTGGTGGTGCCCGTGGTAGTCATGGAAGTGGAGAAGATGGTGGACGCGGTGACATCTGCGTTTGGCGCATCGAAGAGATCCATGATATCTCGATTGCCCGCAGGTTCAATAGTCTTGATGTTGTCATCCGGAATAAGATCCGGCACGTTGCTATCGACGTCCAGCAGATCGGCGAAACTGTGCTCTGGGGTAGGCGATGGGGAATGCATCAGCGTCGGGCTGGGCGTTCTAGTCATCTGCAAGCGATCTAAAAGATGATTCGAAGTGGCATCCATAGCACCCGTAACTGACAGTATCAGGTCTTTTGTGTTTTTAGCGGGTGGCACCGGCGGTGGCTGCGGTCTGGGCGGCGGTGGTCTCGACGGTGGTTTTCCATTCCTTGATGGAGGCGTTGACGCCAGTTGTTGCGGCGGACTGACAATTGTCGCCGGTTGTTTCTCCACCGTCGTCGTCATGGTCGTCGTCGTTGTCGTTGTCGTCGTAATCGTACCGAATAGATCTACATTCGCGTTGTCGGACGTGACAAAGATATTGGATGATTGGCTAGTGAAGACGTTGGTTGCTGGCGTATCAATATCGGTGGTCGTTCCGAACCCAGCGTCCGGAACATTACTTTCGATGCCAAAGGAGGCGAACGGATTAGTAGAGTTGATGGACACCGGTGGCTCGTATGTCTCATCGCTACCGAAATTAAGAAAAATATTCTCGCCCGCGCTGGAAGTCGTCGTTTCGGCAAAATCTTGAAGGAAAGGGTTAGAACTCTGCGGAGGCAGGCCGCTCTCTGGCGGCGCCGCGTAATCATCCATCAAGAATGGATTACCGCCTTTGGAATCCATGATGATCGAACTCGATAAGCCGACTAGAGATTCTTCAATGAAGAGTTTATTATAACGGTCGATAAAATTTGAGCGAAATCTTTGGAATTATGTGTTTGCCAAAATGTAGAATGAACGATTTCAGGCTGTTTGTGTGATATTAGATGTAGATATCATTGGGAATAATTTTAAGTCAGTTGTTCGCGCGTGTTTCTTGAAAATCTTCAATTTTAACACAGAGATTACTGGTAACACATGTAACGAGTAGAGTTTATAGATTTAAACAGTTCTTCGTGAAACTTCAAGGTTCAATGTGTACACTTATGTTAAGCAATGCGACAATCAGATCGTTGAAAGATTTCTTTAAAGATATCGTAGAAAAAAGCTTTTGTAAGAGCTGTATTATTTCATCAATTCTGACTCGAGCAGCTTTAATTCAGTTTGTCCAGGCTCGATAGTCGCGAAGCTTGTATCGAAAGGATCCACGTCGTCGTCTAAACTAAAGTCTTTATTTTGGAGCGGCGTTAGTACTTTATCTCCGGGATCCTGCCCGTCCAAGGACAAAAAGTCCTTAGACTCTTTCGGTTCGTTCGCCCTTGGATCAAAATCGTCTATTTCCGGAACTGTCGGTGCCGGGATAGTTGGCACCACAGCGGGTAGCTTGATAGGACGCGGCGGAGGTTGCTGAGGGATCTGTTCTAACTCGCTTTCCAATATTTTTAATTCTGCTTTACCTGGAAGGATGTTAGTCGCGATGGAGGTATCAAAGGGATCTGAGTAGGAAATTTCCTCCTCCTCGATAGGTTTGCTCTCGATTCTAGGTGTCAAAGGTTTTGCGTCAACTTCGACTTCAGCATCTAGCAAGCTCTCTTGCCTCTGTGGCTCGTGCTTCGCGATCACTTCCTCTTCGACCTTCTGTATCAAAGACGACTGCAGCTGCGCGAGTTTTAAACTACTTGGCGCAACCGAAGTAGCGGTAAAATCGCTCTGCCTTCTGATCGGCTCCGCAGCGGATCTTGGATCGAAATCGTAGTCACTCAAACTGTGAGGCAATCTAGATTCCTGCTTCAGCAACTCCGACTCGATGAGCTTGAGTTCTGTCTTGCCTGGCGCGACGCTGTTGACGAAACTTGTGTCGAACGGATCGACATCTACTTCCTCCTCCTCCAACGGCAATGCCTCTTCTATAGACTTTTGTGAGTAGTATGGCGTTAGCGGCTTGGAAGGTAGGGTTTTCTCCTCTTCAGTGGTTGCGAGAAGGTCGGGTCTCTTCGATGGAGTCGGCAACTCGAATGCGACAGCTTTGGTCGGAGCTAACTCGAGAACCTCCGGCCGCGAGGTTTTCCTCACGAGATCCGTTGGTATCGCTTCGACTTTGGTATTCTCTTCGTCAAAATTAATCTCGAAGACGGACTTAACTGGCGCAGGTGGTCTCGCAGGTGGTTGTTTTACTGACACCTCATCCTTTCTCGGATTGAAGTCGTCATCATCGTCGTTGTCGTTTTCAACGCAATTGTTAGACTGTTCGCCGAGCAATTCCTTTTCCAGCACCTTGAGCTCTGTTTTGCCAGGTGGAAGCTCCTTTACTGCAGATGTATCGAACGGATCAACGTACGTAATTTCCTCGACTGGTGCGATCGGTTGATCCGCTAACTGGCTAAGATCAGTCGTGGAACCGTCTAATAGATCCTTCTTAAGTAACTGTAGATTATCATGATCATTCTTCTCCTCGTCATCCAATTTTAGCAAGCCTGTTTCATAATCTCTGTTGAAGCCAGCAGGATCGGTCAGGGATATAGATACTTCCGAAACGGGCAGTTCTTCGAGTTCCTTCTCGATAAACTTCAATTCCGTCTTACCCGGCAAAATATTATCCGCGAATGTAGTGTCGAATGGATCGGCTTCGTCGACGAAGGTGGCCGCTTCGAAACTAGCTTCGATTATCTCTGTTTGAAAATCGACCGTTTCGGGTTCCTTCGCGGCGAATGGATCGTTGGCCTCCTCGAGATGAGCTGGTTCATCGGGTGCAGCGTTCAAATCGAATTCGGCGTCGTCCAAATCGGGAATCTCCTCCAAGACAGTCTTCTCCTTTAGCACCTCGAATTCAGAGATATCCAATGGACCATTCAAAGTTTTCTCCGCAGCTATCGATGTTGTATTTTCCTGAAGAGGGGTGACAGGGGTGACCGGTCTTGGTAATACAGGCGGTAATTTTGTCAAATCGACAGGAATGTCAGGAAAATCACTATCGTCATCCAGCAGAGTTTTCTCTACATTCACTGGTTCCGTTGCAACAGCTTCCGAAGGCTGTTCCGCTTCTTCGAAATCGTCCAACAACAGATCTTGCTGAAGTCTCGGTCGCCTCCCTTTGGTAAGCTTGCAAGTGCTTACATGATCGATTCTTCCCGATAGTACTTCCACGGCATTGCCTAAACTGACTAATTTATTGCCCTTTTTGTCGACTGTCTTAAGAACCTTGTCAGCGTTGGTGGTATCGAACGGATCGTCGCCGGCTTCCTCCTCGGTCGGACTATCCGGAATGTAAGCTAATTGAACATCGATATTCTGAAGAACATCAACGTAAGTGGTGTCGAAGATGTCTTCGTCGGCGGAATCCTCCTGTTCATCCTCGTCTTCCGGCACATCTACAAAACCGTCCTCGTTGATCAGCGGTCTTCCCTCTTTCTTCTTGTCTTGACCGTCGACCTCCGGTGGCGCAGCCTCGATTGGATTCCCCTCCGCGTCGAAACCCACCCACCTCTTCGCGGACTTGGAGTCCTCGCCTTGCTTCGCCTTCAACGACTTCTTCTCTTCCAACGGCGCTTTTCGCTGGAAGAACGAGGTGGACTTTATCCGATCGAGATCATCCTGGGTCTTTCTCAAAACCGAGTCGACGCCGGCAGTCAGAGCCTGGAACTTCTTCCACTCGTCGGAACCGGCGGTCGACTCGCCGGACTCCTCGGCTTTCTGTTGGGCTTCCGCCCGTTCGCGCCGATAACGCTCGAGCTCCTCCGGATCGAATTCCTCCTCCGCGCCCTTCTTGCCCTTCTTCGGCTTTTTCTTCTTCTTCAGGCCTTTGGCTAGCTTGTGCATCCTCTAAGACCTACCGTGGTGTGCGAGAGGCTCCTGGCAAACAAAAATCTGGGTTATCTGGCCACGAAAATACAGCGGAATTTCAACATTCTATTCAAATACTTTTTATTACGATTCATAGAAAAAAAATAAGTGTCAAATCAAAATTTATATACTTAAATTAACGCATTCATTGTTTTATATATATGCAACAATTTATAATCTTCTTAGAAGAATTTAATTATTTTAAATTTCAACAATATTATAGTCTTATTTTACTATTATAATTGTCATCTCAAGAATATATAATTATTTAAATCTACTTTAAGAAAATTATAATCTTTGATTTAAAAATGTTATCTTCTATCTAACATTGTTTCTTTTCCATTCAAGAAAATTAAATCTTAAATCGTAAAAATATATTTTTCTTGATTGAACTATATAAAATGGCTTCATTCAAGTAAGCAATTATTCAAGCAATTATATTTTTCTTTAATTAACGCAATATAATCTTATTTCAAAATTTCCATGTTAAAACTAAATATATTTTCGAAACAAGAATGTCCTTTTTTTCTGTGTAGATGGAAAAATATATCGATATTAAAAAATTTTTTTAAATGTCCGACTTTTGATTTCTTGGAATTCAATATTCAATATTTAATTATATGCGTGATCGTAATTGCGTAAATAAATATGTGACGCAAAAATAAACAATTTTAAATATTTACATTTGAATATAATAAATAATCCAGATTTTTCGTATTTAATTTTGAATCTCCGCAGAAACAGTAATGTCGAATCACCGAATCAATTTATTATTGGATAGAAATCTGTGTCTCGGAATAGCAATCATGCGGGATCATTGCCAAAAGAGGCCGATCGATCACAGTGCAGTAACCGAACGTGTTTTTCCCTTGTTCTTTAAGTTATTCGATGGGCAAAAATAACAGTCAACGGAAACAAAGCAAAATGACTTTCAAAGCTTTTATTTCTCAAAGATGTTTTGTGAATCGGTCTCTAACTTTCTTGTAAACAATTTCGTCAAAGTCGGAATCGATTAAAGCTTTAAATAGAAAACCGATAGATCAGTTATATTTTGACTGGAATTTTGCCAAGATACTTCATATTTTAGCATAAATTAACTTTAGTAATAATATAATACATATTTCAAAAAGAGAGAAATTGCTTTGAATAATGCAAATTGTATATGTATATTATGCGTATACATTATCGAATATATGTAAATAACCAATTTTTGTAAATATTTTCGAGAATTAATTATGAGAATGATTTGCAAAACATTTCTATTTCATCTGGGCGTATAACAATTTATAGATGTTTTTTTAATCCTCTTATGTTAAGTTAAACATATCACGTGTGTCATGCGATGGATCGTAAACAAACGAGTTATATGCTAACACTAATAACAAGTTTACGTGTGCGTATTTGCATTTTAATTCAACTTGAGCATCGAACTTTATGTCGATAAAACTCAATTAATATATCGGCATGTGATATGCAAGCGAGAATATTAATATAACGCGTCATCAATGACACAATATGTGAAAATGTATGTGAAAATAATTCGTTTTTCGTTTTCAGCGTTCCTGTAATAAGTAGCTTTTCTAAAGAAAAGAGAGTAAACTGGAACGTTAGTTTCTTAATAAAAGAGAGATACGCATATTAAAAAAGATGGAAGACGAGATGATAGAGCTTGGGTCATATATTCTGAAACGTGACGTTCCATCTTTTATTAATCCACATGTATGTTATTTCGTGTAGTAATAACGAGAGAGAGGCCCCTCTACACCTCCCTGCATCCCTTACATTACCATGGCTCACCGAACTCTGCTACGAAGTAGCACTCTCTACTACTCCACTGCAATATATATGTATATAAAAATTCGCGAGTATAGGTAAAATTATAATCGATACGTGAAAGAAGAAGAAGCGAGACTTTTGCGACCAAAAGAAATTTCTTTTACATCGCTATCATCAAATATTCAATACAGGAAATTGTATAAATTGCACTAATTGATATAATATAATATGCTCATTAATATAAATTATGAATTATTATTACACTTTGCATTGCACTTTACAGTTTGCACTTTAAAGCTACATTAAAGCGATAAGAAATTAATATCTATATTGAAACTACAAATAAAAGAAAGTAAAAGAGAAAATGATTTTAAGAAAAACAAAAACAAAAAATAAATACATAAATGGTTATTAATTATTAATTAAATTACGCTATTAATATCACCATTACAGTTTTTGAGCTATAAAATAATATTAAAGAACAGTAAGAAATCAATATATACAGATATTAATTATTAAAAAACTGCAAGTTATATTAAAACTGCAATAAAGAAAATAAAATAAAAGAAATCGATTTTAAGAAAAATTTAATATTAAAATAGCAGACGTCGTAGTATCACGTACAACTATCATAGCGGCGAGTAATTTTAGAGGAAAAGTAATGAGAAATTGTCGCGAAAAATTCCTCAAGCACGTATTCTTCAAGCATCTTAACTTAAATCAGACTGATTCTATACATGTTCTAAAGCCGCGCGATCGACTGCGACTTGTATCAGCGCTTCCTTCGCTTTTCCCGCAGTCAAACGGAAATAAATTATGCATATCATCAATACTTGATGTACCTAGACTCATCTCTGTCAATTAAAAATCCTAACAGGCTGCTCGATTCTTTATCTCCAGATAATACTGTTCCTATACCGTCGATGGATCGATACTATCGATAAAATATTTCAAAAAGATATTTCGATAAAATAGGAACAATATAATATCTCCGATAATAGAAGCGCTGGAACTTAATTAGGATGCAATTCATTTATTAGCCGGAAGAGTTCATTAGCAATTAATATTTCTAATGATTATAATTGCTATCATATCTCAATTATCATCGTTTAATCTCACTACTCGTTATTTACCTTTTAAATCAAATATGCTGATGTAGATCTGTTTCAAGCTTTTTCTATTTATTTCCACAAAATATCTGTATACATAAATCGTAACTTGTACAAAGTTATTCCGTGAGAAAGAAAAAAACAAAATTTGAAGCAAATAGAAGAAAAATAGCACATATCTACATTAGTCTTATATTTAGAAAATTTTTATGTCGCATATATCATAATATCCAAATTAAAATATTGTCACAGAATTTCAAAAATAAAATTTTTCTTTCATATCTAAAATAATTTATATATTTATGAGTTCTTTTATTCATCAATAATCATCGTTATCAATTTTTGTTATATTTTTAATTTTGTGTAGACTAAATAGAAATAGTGAGTGACTGGTACTTTAGATTCTCAAGTAAAATGTTTAAAGGAAAATATTTAAAAAAAAAGAAAAAAATATATATAAAATGTGGAGAGGCAAAAGCAGCTTGCGGAATTATATTAAAAATTCGATAAAAAGATGTCCGTCTTACTTATTATTGAATTAGGTCATATTACAAACGATAAGATTCAGACCAATTGCATCTGTCATGCAGTCACTGCAACTAAAGGTCAGCCGGCGTTAGTTGAAACAACATCCCTCGCGGGTACCTTCGGTAGTTCTGTGCACCTGTCATTTACACATTCACCGGAAATATGTCGCAAAATTTCCGTACGAGAGAGAAACTTGGACTTATTATCCAAATTCCTACATCTCATCTCTCAATCGCAATTAATTCGGTATCGAGAGAAAAAGGAAGCAACAACGTGAATATATTCATTTTACGTGTTTACAAAAATTCACTTTGGCATGTAAAACTATTTGCGATCCATCGAAATCAAATAAATATATAGATATTCACAGTTTCCTTTGGTTTTTTCTTTCGAATAAAATTCAGAATTAATTTTTTCTTAGCGCCAGAATCTTTTCAATCAATTTTTTCACTCGTTCTTCAGCATTTCCGAGAAACATTTTCGTGCGAGAAGCGACAAATCATTTTACGTGTTTGCAAAAATTCACTTTGGCACGTAAAACTATTTACGATCCATCGAGATCAAATAAATATATAGATATTCACAGTTTCCTTTGGCTTTTTCTTTCGAATATCTTCAGAATTAATTTTTTCTTAAAGCCAGAATCTTTTCAGTCAATTTTTTTCACTCGTTCTTCAGCATCTCCGAGAAACATTTTCGTGCGAGAAGCGACAAACTTGAACGGATAAAATAATGCGCAACACACGCGGCAATAAAAATCAATACTTTATAAACGTCTAGTGTGTTAACGAAGGGCTACTAAACGAAACGTTTCTCTGGCGATGCAATTGATTGAGGGATAAGATAACGATACGCGAAAAACCATCGAGAATGACCTTGCCGTTCCGGAATCGATCAAGTATTATCGCATCCTATTCTATCGCGTATTCTGTCGGCGGTTATCATCGAAGCGCACGTTCGAGGGGCAGCAACGAGCGCCTCGAACTGGAACATGCGGAGCGGCACGAGTGCTAATTTTATCTGCGCCAGAAAGAAAGATTTGAACAAACAAACCATCGTGCCAACCATTGACAACTCCATTTCTCGAAATTTCCCGACGAATCGATTTTCCGCGCAAGATGTTTTGACATTTCGACCGCGAAGGTAGAAAGATTCTTCGACAGTTTAATCGAATCTTTAATTAAGGAATCTTTAATCTTTAATTGACTTCTCTTGCACCTTATAATATTCTAATAAAACCGGTCGTGAGATGAAAATGTGCCATTTTGCGAAATTTAGCTTAGAAATCAAGCCAATTGTGAGAGATCGTGATTGGAAGCTGTCAAATTAATATTAAAGCACTATAATATAGTTATCTGGAATTGTAGGGCATAAATGCAACTCGCGATACCTCTCCTGGAACATCGCGGAATAATTAGAAATATAACAAAAACCAAATGTTTCTACGTTTTCTATCAAGGACATCTATTCGTAAACTGCAGCACAGAAAGCAAAGCATCGATTTGCAACGAAGCTAATTGAACATGCAACTAGTATAATAACAGTATAATACACTACTGACAGAGACGTCCTCCTGGAAGATCAGAGTCAAGAGATTCACGTCCTGGTCTAATGCGCGAATGTCGAACGCCGTTTCCGAATCTGGAGCAAAATCTAACAGGAACGAAATAATTCGCGCGACGATTACGTCAGATGTCAAAGTGAGAAATCGAACGAACGAGACGCGAAATCCACGATCGCCTGTTGCGGGCGGAAAAAGAAAAATCCCGAAAGCCTCGACAGCGTGGAAACGGCGTTCCTCTTCAACCCCGCGAACGCTCCTCGGGATTCCGGAGCGGCGGATCAATCGGAGCGAGAGCGTCGAGGGTGGCACCCTCGGTCGCTCCGAGGCACGGGGGTGCCCTTGGCATATACGTGCATGTATCGTATGTATGACACGTAATACTCACGATTTCAGCCTCATCAGCCACGTTGGTACGGCGCACATTTTTTCCGCGTCATCCCGCTCGGCTTGGTCCCCGGCTCCGGTGTACTTGGTTCAACCGGCGTACTCGGCTCGAGAGAAAGAGAGAGAGAGAGAAAGAGAGGGAAAGAGAGAGAGAGAAAGAGAGAAGAACGATGACGACGGCGGCGGCGGCGGCCGCGCCGCGAGGTCGAACCGACAGAGGGTCCTCGGCGACGACGTGGATACGCGGGCGGAAGCTTATCCGCCTTCGGGAAACGAGCGGCGAGCAACGATAGCGGCGGCGGCGGCGGCGACGGCGACGGCGGGCATCGAGAGAGGCCCTGCCGAAAGCGAAGGCGACTCACCTCGTACTCTCTCCTGCGGCCCGAGCTATTTCCAGCATCGATCCGTTTTCTCGTCGGGGAAGAAACATGCGCGGCGCCCATCGCACCACCCACCGCCCCCGCCAGCGACGCCAGCGACGGCGGCGGTCCCAAGAATCGACGGCCGCCTCGACCGTCTCGTGGACGACGTCCGAAAAGCGAGGGGGCGACTCGGGGATTTATTCGAGCTCCATCGCTAGTCTGGAGACTCGGAGCATCCGTTCCTCCTGGGCCGGAGAAAGGGGGTTTCTTCGATTTGAAATTGTCCTCTTGACGAAGATCGATTAAATTCCCGGAAATGAAACGAGACGTCGTCGATTTAACTGAGCAATTCGATATCGATTTAGGGTATAATTAGGTTCCTGGTAATCAATCTAGAGTCGTTCTAAAGCATGGACTCTTCGAATCCGAGAAAGGTAGCCTAATTGTAAATTGTTGAGCGGCGTATGATTAGACTTCCATCATCGGTATCTCTTGATGGACCAACATCGCTGTCGATATTACGTACGCAATGATCGCATAAATCTCCTAAAAAAATACAAATCTCGTATAAGTATTATAAAAAGCGTCTGCAAAATGAGACGAACTCGCGGTAAAATGTTGCGATAAGTAAACCTTTTATAACGCGAATAACGCATCAACCCCCTTCTTGTGAAAAAGATGCGATCTGATCGAGTCAAGTCGCATGCAAAAATGAAGGTAAACGCAAATTTAAGAGAAGAAGACGGGAATAAAGTCGGGTACGGTGCAAAAGTATTACGAGAGAACAATTGGTCATCGATGATGAAATATTTTCTTTACGAACAAAAGTGATTATATAACATAGGTAGATGGTAGAGTTTTTAACAATGGAAACAATATATATTATCTTCTACAACCAGGACTCTCTTAGGACATATTTTCGAGATTTGGTGTAATCTTGTGACTCTCGCAATACATATGTGCGCGTATATACGACGTAGCATATATACATTTGTATATATATTTCTTCATCATACATATATTTCTTCTCTCTTTGAAATTGTACGTTTATTTTACACATAAAATTAATATATAATTAATAATAATACGAATAATAATAATAACAATAATTATACGAATAATAATGTACATACTTTCACCGTTGTTATTGTTGTTTACATAATCATGATAGGAATCGGAATGAAATGCATAATCATATTTGGACGTAATTAGCTACGGTACAATTTTGTCAAACGAGGTACATCTGTAGTTGAAAATTTGATTCGCCGATTAGACATAAAATTCGCGACATATCCGCTGTTACTAGAGGATGGCGGATCGTCAACCGTCCGACATGATCATTCGCCAAATGAATAACGATGATACAATTATGATGCAATTATAATAATAATTCGGGTATAATAATAATTAAAAAAAATAATAATAATGATTTTCGCAAGAATAACTATATCCTTCCTCTTGTTTCTCGTCCTTTCTTTTCTATACAAGTGCACAATTATTTACATAATCAATATAATGACAAATTCTAAGGTGCCTTTGAGCGCGTTTTAAAACTTGGATTTCCTCTGGAAATAATCCAGTATTTATATATTTGGCACACATCTCAGCTTTTTTTGCGTTTCACACGCGGATCTGATACTTGGCACACGATATTGAATGACGGTCGCATGCATTGATTGGCTTTCTCTCTTTTGAAAAGATTTAATTTTAAATACCTAAAAAATGGGAATAATGAGTTTTTTTTTTTTCACCGAAACGAACATCTTCTCTACATCTCACGCATCCGCAACTTACAATTGTTTCACATTGAATTTAGTGTATTCTCTTCTATCTTTTCTTTTTTATTTCTTCTCTGAATCGAGACTAACGTTATCTAATCGCGATGCAATAGCCCACCTGTTCGTCTCTATACATACTAAACGACACATCTTTCGCCGAGAGTTTCATTGAAAAAATGGAGAAACAAGTTACTTTTTTTTCCGATAATACACAATTATTGCTAACGCAAGGATACCTGCAAGATACACGTCGCGCACTTGCTACGATGCATTTACCGCACATTTACCGTTTAAATTTCCAAACGAAACGCCACGATGGTGTGTTTCTCTCTATATATATATACTATACTCCTTTATTTATTTTTTTTTCTTTTTTTATTTCGCGTCGATTTTTCCTATTCGTAGCGATACAGTGACACAGATAAACATCATTTACCCTATTCGATCGCGTCGTACAATAATCGCTCCCTGTAAAAAAACACTCAGGAGAAACAATCTTTTTTTTTAATGCGAAATTTCCGAGAGCTCTTGCATTTCCGGAACCACACAGTCGAGCCTAAGTTCTATTGCGTTTAACGAATCTACGGGTTAGAAACACACGAGTTTCTGCTCTCTAAACAAACACGGAATCGTCTAGGGCGAAAACGGTAAAACATGTTAGCGAGTTTCGCAGTCTTCTTCGAGATCGCAGACGCGTTTTTGCGTTCGAAGAAATACATTGTGTGTATCGTTATGCTCGTGGGATCGTCGTTTCGTATCTTTTTTTTTTCGTTTTTTTTTCTCCTCTTTTTCATCTCTTTGCATCAACAGCTTCCATTTTTGCGGATATTAGAATGTAGCAGGATCAGCAGAAAATTTCTAATCAACAGTCACGTGAAAAGATATGCGACTCTCTATGATCATTTTGCAGAAGATGCGATATATGACATACGTTCGCAGGAAAAAATTATTTCTAAGCAATTTATTTCTACGCAAATTATTTTTACGCGTTATTGCGATATTTATGTCAATATCGTTTATGTATACTAGTACACGTTACTACGCTGAACAGGGATTTCAGAAAGGTCAGAGAAAATTCCAGTTTTCTTTTTTCCACTTATCAAAATTTATCAAAACGTATACGTGTGTGTGAATATATATATATATATATATATATATATATATATATATATGCGATCATAGAAAATTACATAACATTTTTTCACGAGCCCCTGTTAGAAATTTTCCAACTTTTAGGAGAGACATCAGGTCAGGTACACTTCCTCACGTAGAACGGGCTAATATACGGCGGAAGGAGCGAGACGCTCGGCAGATGATGCTTTTGTATACTCGCGTGTCTATAATAGTTAACCGTTTTTGTCAGTCTGAGAATTTAACCTCGTTAATATACACTTTGGAAACTCCGTCTCTTACGAACGTCTCTTAGCCTGAATTGATTTTGAGACGTCAAGATAGATAGGTAGGCCAAGTCGCAGCAATCGTGTTCGAAATTTGAGCGTAACTTAAACTTAAAGTTTTTCGGCCGACAATCGTCCGTGATTTGATTACGTGTTACTCAAATTTGAAACATCGTTGCCGCGACCGAGCCTCGCGAATGTTCGCTATCACGGTAATACATAAAAACACGATATATACTTTTGCCTTTATACCGAACGCAAAGTCTGGAGGAATAGTCTGTAAAAGTGTGAGAATTTCTTGCAGATTATATTTTCTCCCATTTAAAAACTGCTTCCGATGATCCTTTATTTCATGGCACCAAAGTACGACAACACACGCGGAAGACTCTGTCAGGCGGGTAGTACTTGCAATATAGTATAACCGGAGGGGAGGAAGATTTAAAAGATTCGCGTAAGAAACATAAAACTATGTAACAGGCACCTGTAGAAGAACCGGTCCACCCGAAGCTTTCTAGCAGACTCGCTTGAAGTCTCGCTTGGAAGATTGCTCGAAAGCACATGTCTTGCAAACAGCATACTGGCCTTCGATTTCCGATCGCCAATCTCCTCCGAGACACGTTCTCGGAAATCCTCGTCTTAAAGCATAAGACCATATACAGTTACTGAAGAACCCAAGACGCGGGTACCCACTGAGGTTCCCTCTCGAGTGAGTTAATCTCCGTGAGTAATTGGTTATACGCCCGATCGGTATCATTATTCAATATAAGCATGTCGAACAAATGGCCATATTTGTCCTCCATCTCGCGTGCTTTCTCGATTATGTCCTTCAACTCTTCTTCCTTGAAGCTTTCGTTATTTTTAATTCTCTTCTGTCTCAGCTTCTCCAAACTCGGAGGCGCGATAAACACAACGTACGGCTTCAGATCCGAATTTCGCAGGATCTTGAGACTCTGAGGATGTAGATTTAAGACACAGATTTTACCGGAATTAACCACTGTTCTGATGGCCTCCACGGACGTGCCGTAATACGCTTTCTCGTACTCGCCGTGTTCGACAAATTTACGACAAAGGATATCGGACTCGAATTGAGCACGTGAAATAAAGTGATAGTCCTGGCCGTCGACCTCGGAATCCTTTTTCGGACGACTTGTATCTGAAAATCGAGAAACAAAATATGTTCATTCGTGACTTTGACGTATTTGTTTATAAAGAGAGATGTAGAAACATTAAATGTAGTTGCGATCAATAAAGTCAAATAGAATAGCACTTACGAGGAATCGCTGCGGCAAAACGTTCGCTGTCTTGCATCAATCTCTGCCTGAGTTCGTGTCGTCCGATATTGGGAGGTCCAATAAGAACAATGGGCCTCTTGTGATTTGCACGAGGATAGTATAAGGCGACTTCTTCGTACGTCAACACCTCCTCGCTGTCGTAATCTGCGAGAAAGAAAAAGCATCGTGTGTTAAAGATAATTCCCATAAAAATAATACAATTGATTATTCAATTATCTGTTTAAGCTTATTACATACCATCTATGGCAGTTGTCGCGTAAAGAGGGTACCCGTCATCATTGAAGTTTGCGCCAAATTTATTCCGTTTCTTCTTCTTTGGATTTTTTCTCGCACACAATAGCGTGCTAGATTTCTTCGAGCCTCGCACCGTCGACTTGTCGCCAGCTATCGTCTGCTTCATTGATTCTCGTCTACGAAGATAAAACTAACATGTATATCGGAATCATGATGAGATTGTAGTCGAAAATTGGCAATTAGTTTAACTCACTGATGCTGGAACGATCTACTAGGTATCAGACCGGCTAGAGTCTGATCCTCTTCGCCCTCTCGATATGCTTGCCACCAATTTGGATCTTCTTGAGAAATTACATGAAGCACGTCGCCTTTTTGGAAGCTCACACCCAATTCGCGGCACGGTATATACGGATCTTCCTCAGGATCGTAATCGAAATGCGCTCGTATGTGTATCTAAATGTAAATGATAAAAGCTTTATGCGGTTATAAATACTACGCTATGTTTCCAGTCTACGTTATGTCAATGCAATGGAAACTAGAACAACTGTTTTGTCGCTATTAGCATCGCGATCCATAGATATTCCGCACACGTAGCTTACAAGTGTCAATGTCGCATTGTTAAAGAACAAAAGTCATTTGTTTATATGTATATGTGACATTTGCGGGCACTCTCTTGTATGCACATACATTTAGTTTTAAATATTTAAGTAAATTTTAAAAAATAAATGTGAATAATAGAGCATCTTAAATTATATATTGATTTGTCCAAACTGAGCAGATATTAAAATTATAAAAAGATGATCAGAAGTAAAAGATCAATGTCACTTTTTATCTTGAAAAGTTAAAAGATAATGTTTCCTCTGACTTGACATTTGCTCTTTCGTTTTCAACAGAAATATCGCTTGTTCCAGTTTCAACATCTACGGATATTCAGTTTGCGTTTTCAGACTGTGCTAAATATATCGGGATATGTACTGTACATTTATGCCGTACCTGTGTCGTGTCTTCTCTCCTTAAATTATTTTTGTGACACGTCGGTGCCGGAAGTACTAAGAACGTGAGACTACCCTGCATACCGGCGAGAATATCGCAGACCTCATTGACGGTCTTGCCGCGCATTTCCACACCGTTTACTTCAAGAACTTCGTCACCTTCATGCAAGAGTCCCGATTTGTCCGCCGCGCCACCGCGCACAACACGTCCTTAAAATAAGTCATTTAAAGATTAAATCAAACGATGAAAATCATATATGTCGACGAGTAAAATTGAAAAAGTAAAATTATTATAAGAAAATTATACAATTATATAATGATTATATAATATAATGATTACCTATAATCACCGCATCCCCTTCATTTCTAACGGTAGCTCCCAGCGGTTCGTTAGTCTTCTCAATTCGGATAATTTTAATGTTATCGACCACCCGGGAATCTTTCCAGCTGGATGTCGGGCTAGGTGGTGCGCTAGGCGGCGAGGACGATGGGCTTCGCTTTCTTTGCAAACCGTCAACATACGATACGATGGAATCATGAGCGAGAAGCAGAGCTTCCATGTCATAACCCGTAAGAATGCTCGTTAATTCTTCCACAGCGGCTATTGTTTCTGCACCGCCGACACCTGTTGAAGTCGCCGACGATTGCCATTTTTCCAAGATATCTACGCACTAAAACAAATTTACACATTACGCTGGATAATTAAATCATATTGAAATAAATAAACGCGCAAGTATGCTTGAGTGTGATTAATATATCATCGTCTTGAAGTCGTAAAACGCTTTTCCTTTATTTAAGATATTAAATAAACGATCAAAATTTGTGATATCACAAGTATAGCTTTGAAAGCCACATGTTCTATGTTCGCTGAAATCCGTTATAGCAAAGCATATTAATCTATATATAATTTAATTAAAATATTGAAATTTTATATGCACAGAGATGATCAGTAATGGTGATAAAATATTCGTAAAGCTTTATGGAGAAGCTACCTTCCATTATATTTATTAAATTACATACCAATGTACGTTTAACTTTATAGAATGTCTTTTAAAATTTTTAAACAAAAACTGATTAAAAAACATTATATAAATGAAAATAAGTGAAAATAATATTATTAATATAGAGATTATCTTCGTGTATCTCCAATATATATATGTATATATATCATTACGTAAATTTTACATACATCTCGTGCCAAATTCGATGCGTCATCGGCATGATGTTTGAAAATCTTGCTCGCCCTCAACCGATTCTTCAAAGCGTGACGCGTCGCCAGAGCAGACGCAAATTGATTTTGCACCAAAAGTGCTCGAACTGCCTTCAATTCGGTTTCGACACCTGGACCCGAAATACCGAGAGCACCTGAAATATTTTGCAGCTGAAGCTGCAGCCTCTCGAGTGTAGCAACTACTTCGCCGTACGCTGAAAAATAAACAGGATATATTGAAAATTTTTTTGCTCGTTCCATGGAACTCGCTGTTGGTTTACGCAAAATTATTGTTGATAAGATCTTATTTATTTAAATTTAACGTCGCAAAAACTTATGAAAACGAATGGCTAAAATTCTTTCGAGATAGAGTGTTCGCGAGCGAATCCGACAGTGAGCAGTGGAAGAGGAAGATCTTTCAGTGAGAAAAAGTGCACTTTGTTTACAGGAAAGGGACAAAACTTTATTAGAGTCGAGATTAAAAATAAGACAAATGTTTAGTGCGGTATCGCGAGCGGTGTAACGAGATTGCGATTCCACTAGCGGTTTTCAAAAGTCGTATGCGGATAATCGTAGTCCTAGCGAAATAGCGGTCGTTATAAGCGGTTCGTTTAGCGGATTGACACAAGAGATAGCGGAAGTTTAAGTGAGTAAGCGGTCGTATAACGAAAAAGCGGTTTTAACAGAGCGGTTTAGCAAAGCGATTTGACAAAGCGGTTTGACTACGATAACGAAAAGTTCAAAACTTCGAAGGGTCCACGCGCGATGCCCGTTATATAGCGAGCGGAATTTTGGGCCCGTTGCAACGTGGACCAATAAATTTTATATTTTAGCGGTGACCTCATGGCGCCGCGCATAATTAATCACATGAGGTCTGACGTTGAGATTTTTGCGATTGCCATGCGCATGATCTTTTTCGATCAGCTGATTGGCGATCAGTTGATTGTGACATATGAGCGCGGGCTGCGCTGACTTTGCTGACGGTTGGCATTGTTTTGCCAAATGTTTATAACGAGCGTTTCTTATGCGGCGAAAAAAGCAAGAGAAAACGCGGACGTTTTTCAGATAAATAGATAATTCGAAAAGTTTCTCGACGCCCGTTACGTTTAAATTCTCTAACTTTTGTTAGCGAAAAATGCGGATTTTTTCCAACGCGAATTTTGAATCGGAATGATAATTATGAATTTCGAACACAGAGTGTGCAAAAAATTATATTGCAGAATTTAAAAAGCTTAAATATGCTATTAAGATGAGATTGCTGTTTGTCTTCTTTTAATTGATCTCTTTTTAATTCAGAAAGATCTGCAGAAATATATCTCAAGAACAAGTTGTATGCTTACTGAGGGTTCTGGGAGGTTCCTTCACTTCTTGCACTGCATTAGGAGTGGCATGTGTGACCCGGCTGACGGTGGTCACCTCATCCTGTGCGTAAGCAAGATTTTCCTGGCCAATGAGACTCGTCGCGTGGCTCTCCAAGGCTTGGAGCTTTTTAGATCCACGGAGAGAACGGCTGAGCATTTCCTGCCTTTCCTCTTCATCCTTTCGTTTTCGTAACTGTTCCTGTAAATGCGACATAAATAATTAAATTACTTTATAAGAAAGAAAAATATTTTCGAGGAAAGTTAACTTGATAATAGAGTATAACTTTTATATTGGAAGCCATATAAAATATCAAAATTTTATTCGACGATTATTGACGAATATACATATAATAGGACAAGTGTATCTTTATAAAATATTTCACATTTTTCAGAAAATTAAAAATATATTATTTAATTTTCATTTGATGTAATTATGCATCAATTGTAACATACAGAGTGTATTAATTTTTCCCATACTATTTATCGTTTATATAGATTTTTCAACAAATTTAAAATAAATTTCAGAGGAAATTTTATTAGTAATAAGCTCTCACATTGTAATCTTGTAATTCCTGTATAATGTAATGTCCTGTGCAATTTATTTATTTATTCCAAAATATAAATTGAAATAATATTTCAATATTATTTTGGCTATATATTGTTTTAAAAATTTTGTGAGAGTTATTACAATTCTAACGATTACGCAAAAAGCTGCGAGATTTTTATTGTCGCGTGCAATTGTGCGTAACCAATGTTGCAAATACATACATAGTTTATTGAGAAATTTATAGATTATATTCTCGCGCGAAAATAAGAAATTCTTTAACGATATCAAATTCGATCGAATATCTTTACAAATATCTCGGTATCAGCTTGTTAATTATTCCGAAGCAACTTATATTCGGAGAAGTAGCGCGCTTTTGATCCCTGTCAAGTGTCAACTAAATTTGGCGGCACATGTATACATATCATACATTCCATTTTTATATTTGTATGGATGACATTTTAACAAGTCGTGTTTTCAATCTACAAAAGTATTTTCAGCAAAATCTATTTTACAAGTATGAATATTCCTATTCATCCTACGCTAATTTTTCTTGCGATAAATTCATTTAAGTTAATAATTTCAATTGTAACAATATACTTTTTACTGAAAAATCATATAAAAATTTGTTGAATAAATAAAATTTCTTTCTCTCTCTCTCTCTTTTTCTCTTACATGCTTCAATTAATTTCATCTAACTATCATTGTGATAGAATTTAATAATTAACCAGTAGTTTAATGATAATTAAGAAGTTCAATCTGGAAAATTATATGCGAATAATTAAAAAAATGTATAATGCAATGCATAGCTTTATTCTGACTGAACTTTATTCTATCTGAGAAAAATAATAATAAATCAATAACGCTTTAATATGGCTCTTTTAAGCGATAATAATTATTAAAACAAAAAATGTAATTTATGCATTTTTAAAATCTGCAATAACTATCATCTTTTAACAATCATATAAGGCAAATCATATAATATATATGTAAGCAGCTTCGTTTATTTTGTATAATATCGCATAATTGCAAAAAAGAATGTATAAAAGTTATTTAGGAATAAAATTTTTTACTATTCTTAAATAATTATAAGTAATGTGTTGCAAAAAATCATATTATTGCCGAATCTATTTTATGAATAGCATGTAATGTACATGTATTTAACGAGAGGTTTAATTCGTATGATATATTTTTTTCTCATTATCTCTTTAGCGAATCAACAAATTCCATTTCAAGTTACGTCAATTTATCATGACATTAGCCGTGTGTTATTTTGTGATTCGTGAAATCAACGCCCACCGCTGTCAGATGATAAAGCTGGCTGTTACTCGTCCAGATTTCTGACGTAAAATCGCGATACGTATTATGGCAACTACGCATAAATCAACGGTAAGGCGAGGACTCCCCAGAGAAGATGAGATTCATAATTTTCATTTATGTAACGAGCATGTTTCTGTTTATCGAACGACACTACGTCATGTATACGTAATGTATGTTACATATGTAAGGATAGAAATATCTTAGCGAAGCCCCGTTTACGGCAACGTAAGGTTTCTTGCGGAACCTATGCGTCTTCTCTCGCGACGCGATTAGACAACATTGATAGTCAACGTAAAGCGCATTAAAAAATGTGTATATACCAACATTGATGCAGACGATAAAAATAATTTCAGGAAAAGTTAACGGTTTTAGAAATCGTCTATATAAGCTCTTTCACAATCTCTATATTCTTCTCCGTGAAACGTGATTTCATCTTGATAAGAATTAGTCTACGAAAATTTCATTTATTAAATGATACAAATAGACTCGTATAGACGTATTCAAACATCAATTTAAAGAAAATATACATCGAAAGAAAATGTCTGGTTAATAAGTATCATAAAAACAAAGACAGAAAAAAACAGAAAAATAAAAAGGAATGCGTTTTTTAGTTCGAAACACCTGCTGCGGCATATCTTGAGATATTAGAGCAGAGCGAGTCAAATCGAAGATCTGGAAAGGGTATCCCCTTGAGGCAGATCAAGAAAGTGAGGTCAGGGAAGTGTATCGAACAAAAAAAAATGAACAAAGTTGAATGTAGCATCGGCAGCAGCAACAGCAGCAGAAGAAAAGAGTCAGGTCTGCGAGTCACCCTACAGTCTACAACCTATCGAAACTTGGTAACGCTACACTTCAGGCATGTAATCTTAGACTATTGTGGGGGTTCTTTACATTCCAGACCCGCACTCTTGACTTAAGGCAGGTAAGAGAGCGAGAGCGTGGTGTGAGGATTCCATAAGATAAACATACTCACGCGGCTCCGCACGACGACACCGCAGTCACGTATAAAAGGGTTCTGGCATCTCTCACACTTACAGATATCCCGAGATTGTGATGAATTTCAAGTGCGCGGCACTTCGATCCACGAGCATCTCTAGGTCTTACCCACGATTTTTTGTTCACTGTGGTTTCTCGTTTCTCCATTTTTAATAATTTAATAAAAATAATTTAACAGCACGATAAGAAACGAGCAAGTAAGAACCACCGCGGATGATAGCGCGTAAAATTTTTCTTAAATTATTCGCGAAAATTTAAACACAAGGCATATGCATATATTTTACTTGGTGCATTTACCAAAATATAGATTCTCATTTTTGAGAATTCTATAAACCCCTCTTTACCCCCCTGAAGAGATGTAGACGAGAAAAATGTCGGGGCGAAGATGTCGCTGAATCGTCGGGAAATTTTACGCAACACCGCGGTGGCTCTTATTTGCTTAGTTTCTTATCGTGTTATTAAATACATAAAGAGCCTAATTCTTTAATTTATTAAAAACAATTTAATTTTAAGGGGAAAAAATACTCAAAATGATACGTAATTACAGAGAGATCTTTTACTTCAGAATCAAGTGTCTTTGCTTTTGTTTTCTATCTGTTACTTGAGAATATGCGCAGACAGTGTTTCTGCTACGCGTGTATGTCGCAGCAACAGATGAACATTTTTTCTCCATTGATCGATATTCGCGCAATAATTTCGAATGCTATTAACGCATGTCTCGATACGTCTAATTAATTTCCACTCATGCTAGATCGCGACTCATTCATCAATCAAACTTTGTCGGGACGACAAACCCCTGCTGCAGGAAATTTGAAAATTGCGACGCGGCTACTCGTCCAGTCGTGCTCCGATAATAACTATTGTCAAGAGCTCGCAATTTCCCGTACAAGTGTTCACACGTATAGAGATAGCAGCGTTGTTAGGTGAGTTGTACGTCCTCCTCTTAAATAACGATCCGTCATTTATCGCATCGTTACGCAATGCGATCGATCGCGAAATGCTTGCATGCTATTCACAAGCGACTGCGGCTTTTCAAAGAAAAAGAGAGAGAGAGAGAAAGAGAAGTCGCTCTGTATTTTTTTTCTGCCGAATCACCTATTTAATGATTTAATCCGATCGCAAGGGCGAAAATCGTAAAAATAACACCTATCGATGAATATTAAAGAATGGCCTGCCATTTTACGAGCTAGACCAACAGCTAGATATTATGCACTCGACTCTTCTTCAGTCAATCCATACAAATGTTACATTTCGCATAAAATCTTTTTTTTTACGAGATTGTTTTTACGAGAGGCTATTATTAATAATTCATAATTTACGCAATCTCTTTTTCCCTATCAATTATCGAATTTGTTTCTCTAACATATATGTATCAAACTCTAATAATAATAATAATAATAATAATAATAATAATAATAATAATAATTCACAAGCATTGGAAATAGCATGCTTCTCTATAGTCGTAATTAATTATTTTCTTATTTTTTACTTACTTGCGTTACGTCCCTCCCACCAAAATTTGACATGTCCGCGCTTCTCGAGTCATCTAATTGTGCATGCTGATGTGACTCAATATAATACGATAATCTCTCGTGTCCCTTACCTGATATTTCCTGATAGAATGAAGCTGCTGCTGCGTCGGCTCGGTTGCGTTGGCATTATCGCTCGTTTCGACATTATTGTTTTGCGTAGATAGACGTAGATTATCCTTCGGCGGTCTGGCGGGCGCCCTTTTCTGATCGCGAGGTGGGATGGCAGGCTTGACCCCGTTGAGACCGGCCTAAAAATCCATTCCAAAACACAATTCGTATTAATAGTCCCACGTGTCTGGCGCCGTACAATTTACTTTGCCAACTTTATTCATCTCTTCTCTCACACGTGTGTGTTTCATTCTCCTTTTGCACTTTCAAATATAATGAAATTTCAGTTCGATCTATGCATATGCGCAGGAAAAGAGGAAATAGAGGGGCAGAGAAGCTGAAGCATTAGAAAAGCAAGAGAGTGAAAGAGAGAAATGCATGCATGCGCTGGAAAAAGGCAGCAAAAATATCGGGACAAAAATAAAATGCCGACTCTCTCAAGAGATGATTGTACCGAAGATGATAACGCGTGTATTTATTTGTAGTATGCAATGCTGAACTTTTATATCGAAATTGAAATTGTGCCACATTAAAGATGACAAGTCTGAGTCATTTCGCATCCTTGACTCATTCTTTCACTCGCTATTTTGAAGCGTAGTTCGAGTGTAATAAAATTTAAAGTATTTCCGACATATCTTTGAAAATCCATAGACATTTTATTCCATAAATGTTTTCTATACCTTGTGTATGTGTGAGTTTACTACTTTACCATGCCGTCGACGACCTCTGTTAGATGTCCCATATTCTTTTATGCATGCTCTTCGTTTTAGCATTTTTTCAAACAGCGTCTTTGTACTTTTTTCTGTTTTTACAATAGTAATGCACATGATGCTAAAGAACAATCCGACTTAAGATACTTTAAAAAGTGAAAATCAGCAATCTATCAAAACTACTTCGCAATTAACTCGAAATTTCGAAAATACAAGAACGCTGTTCGAATTATTTCGACAGACAAAAGTTGTCAAAATCGAATCGCAAAATCCATTACCTGGTCGACGTGCGTCGATTCGCGCGTATAATTCTTCAAAGTGCACTCATTTGACGGTCTCGGAGGGTTCTGCTTTGTACATCCATTAGAATCGCGTAAAGTCATCATCGGTTGGTCCCTTTCGTTCTGTCCCATGACTTGCCGCCAAATTTTCGGGTTCGGGATAGGATCGCGGAGGGAGAGCAAGAAGCGAATCCGAACAGCTGTTAAATCCGAAATATCCGACATGCTTCTCTGACAAACGCGAAATTTCACACCTTTGTCAGTCGGGACATTCATCAACTCTTTGCATTGGTACTCGACGAACAAACTTGAATTTTTCTGATTCTGCGCGTTCGGTGAAACACAGCGATTGTGCAGCTCATCGTTTTGCGAATGTTGAAAATTGTCGGAAACGCCATCGAATAGATGACGCACGACGTGGTGCTTCACGGAGAATAGCTCGTGCAAGGAATTCCGAGAATTCTGATTCGTCTCTTGGACGAAGGACTGAATGGGAGTGTCGACGATTTTGAGAAACGAGGCATCGGGCAACGAAAGATTCTGTTCACGCGTGGTAATATTTTCCGATCGATCAGAAGAAGTAATCTCTTGGATTTCATTTTTAAAATCCGCAAGAAGACATTCCGATGAATTCACGACTTTGTCGTCGGACAAGGATAGATTAGCCAAGCGCGTAGGATCCGCGATCTTATTCGAAAAAGAAGACAAGATCGGCTCACCATTTTCGCCTTCGGAGTAGAAGGAATTTCGCCAATTTTTCGAAAATTTGTTTCGAGGAAAGAGCAAAGAGGATGGACGCTTGACCTTCCTCAATAAATTTCGACGCGGAAAAGTCTCGTAGTAAATATCCTCGTCATGGGACACGTCGAAGCAGGGATTCTCGTAGAAAAGCTTCTTCGAGGCTTCAAAGTTACAGGCAGTAAGTGAAAATTCTCCCGAAAAGTCTCCCAAATTCATGTTGAACGATTGCAGAACAGGTTCGTTAGAGCGAAGCCGCGTCGGTGCGTTAAACTGGTGCGTGCTAGGAGAAGCGCAGAGAAGCGATCTGCGGTGTTCGTTGTGCATGATAGAGTGCAAGCCATCGACTATCAAGCTCTTGACTGTGGACCTTACCTTCTTGGCGTCGTGCTTACGATCTATCGTCGCGTTGCACGCGACTATAGTCTCCCTAGCGCTACCAACGTCGCCGCTAGACAGCGTCGTGTAACGGCTATTGTCGTTCGGGGGTAGACGGGGGGAGGCTACGAGTGCGGTCGTCGTGATTGTTGTCGTCATCGTCGTTGTCGTGGGGGTGCACGCGCCCCCCTCGCTCTCGCGATCGCGTTTCGGCTCGAGAGTGTTGTGCTTGCTGTTGCCGGGCGTGGTGGTCTTATTGGGCGGTGGGTATACCGGATGACGCTTGGTAACCGGCACGAAATCCGGCGGACAGTCGACGGCTACTTCGCGGTAGGATTTGCTGTCCGAGAACACGAGGAAGCTGCGATCCATACTACGCTCAAGTTCGCCCGATGCTTCGCTTCTCAGCGTGGAGTAGCCGCTGGAGATCTGCTGATGTCTATGCTTCTTCTTGGGTCGAGCCGATGTGGAGGACAAGGAGGAGAGATGGCTCTCGATGCCAAGCAAATCATCGGTCGAGCTAGCTCGGATCAGTTCCTCGATGTCGAGACTACGCGATTTTGCCTTTAGCTTGGCACGTTCGTCGACATTTGCGCGGCGCTTCGTATTCTTCGCGGCAGACTTGTTTGCCGAGGGCTCCGTCGTCGCTCGGGAAGGCTCTATTTGTTGGTCCTCCGTGCGAACAGGCGGTGTCTTGTCCTGTTCCTTCGGAATCCTCGGGATAGAACATTGGTCGTCTATCAGTCTGGTCATATCCGAGGCCTCGTCGGATCGCAGTAAGCCCTGAAGGTCCTGCAGATCCGTCAGCCCATAAGCTGGATTGTCAAAGGATGTCGCGTCCCGAGCGCGACCGAAGAGCGGAGCTATCTTGATGTCGGGTATCATCGATCTGCACGGGGAGCCGAGATCTATCCTTCGTACGTCATAAGACGTATGTTGTACGTCCTTATGTATATCTTGATTTTGTCTTTGCTCGCACCTCAAGCTGGTGTCCAGAGGCGCAGTGCTGTCCGATCTGCCCGATGAGCTCCTCGGGCTCGCGGAATCGTCGCTGCACGTCTTTAACATGGTGGGGTAATCCTCCTTGGCGAACGGATAATCGTCCTCGACGTCGACGCCGGACTCCTTCTGCCCGCTCGCGTCCTCGTCGATGTTATCGTACTCCTCGAAAGCTTTCAAGTCGCTCATCAGATCCGGCGAATCAGTCGCAATCGGACTGTCGTGATACTTGTCAATATTTGCCGAATCTTTCTTGGCGACTTTTACCTTTTTCTCCTCCTCGTCCTCGATGTTTAGCTCGATCTTCAGCATGGACATAGGCTGAAGTCCGTTGCGAACGTTGATCGTCCGTGAGGCGGCGTCGACGTCGTCGTTCAATACGAGTCTAATGCGTCCGTCCGCGGGTGTGGTGCGCGTCTTAAGGGTCTCGTTTTTAAGGTTTAGGGATAGGTCGAGGTCGCTAGCGCTACGGGGACGATGCTGTAGCCCGTTCCTATAATCGGAAGAGCGATTCTTTACCTTGTTGGGATAGGCCTTCTGTAAGAGGGTGTCGGGCACATCAACAGGTAGCTCCCGATGATGGCCCAGGGCGCCAGGGGCCCACATCTCATCGGGCCCCAGTCCCTCCTGCGGCTTCTTAGCGTCGCGCGAGCTGCTGTTGTTGTTCTCTTGCAGCTGTTGCTGTTGCTGAGAGTGTATGTCCGTCACGCCACTACCGCTACGCCTTCGGGACCTAAAATAAGAGAAAAGATTCTTTAATATAATTATTAACTTTGCATTTTCTATAAATTTCTCGATAATATTAATGCATATCAAGTTCAAATCTACTACTAAATAATTAGCGATCAACCAATAAAAGATAATTAATATTATATCAAGTAAATTGTTTGTGTTTCATAATAAATAAAAGTAATACATTCCTAGTAAAAATGTATGTATCATTTAAAACAAAACATTCTTAATTATCACTAATATATATCGACAAATTAATTATAATAATGTAGCATCTCATACATATAAAAAATTAATTTTTATATTTTCGCACAAGCAGAAATATTCAATAAACCGAAATGGGCGAGTAACCGTATTATTGGGTGAAGAAAGATTAAACGAAAGATAACTAGCGGCTATTAGCATATATTTCTTACATGAAACTTGTGATAAATGCCAGCTGTTGCGAACACGAGCTATTTGTCAACTATTAGTATGTTGGAATTATTTATGGGTAAACAGCTTTGATATGTAAATAGACTTATAATCTTGATTATGCAGTATCTACGACAATGTATCATTAATAAAAGATATAATATTGTATTATAGAAAAAGATAAATTAATATACAACGATAACTCGATTTGAATAAATGCTCAACTGGTTTTTTATCGAAAATAATATGATGAAAATAATAACATCTAATTCTAATATTACTATTAATGTTAATATAAATTAATGCCAACATAATTCTCTCCTTCATCAGTGAGAAATAAAAAGAGTGATACAATTGAACTACGTGTATTTAATTTCAACTGTCTCACAAGCCAAAAATTTGCAAATCATTGTAAGTAAAAAAACATGTGTAATAAATATTTGCCACCTATCTCGCAATACCTGAAATATTCTCACCTTTCATATTTTTAGATTTCATAGAACGTGAACGCCGCTCACGTGAAAATAAATTCAGTTCTATATATCATATGATTCTCGATAGCGCATGTTATATGATGTTTCAAACGAATCTCCTCCCGATCGTACGGGAAAAGTCACTGGAATATGCGGACCGGAAAGAAACTTTCGAGATACGATAAACCTAAAATATACGTATTACCTGCTGTCAGTCGTCGCTTTATCGTGCCCGAGAAGGTTCTTTTTCGTTGTAAAGTTACCCGGACAAAAATATCTTACATTGCCGCATAAAAATTCCGCAATAAATATCCACGCGAGTAAACATCCCAATTTTTTCAACGATATATCTATATTTATAATTAGCAAATTGAATAATAAATCATTGCCGTGATATAAAAGTATAATCATGTAACATGTAACATTCGCTAAATCATCATATCTGAATGCAAATGCCAATCAATAATGCAAAATAGCCTCTTATAACAACAATATTATTAACGTGGCACATACAATGTGGTTCATGAAAATTCATTATATGCAAGCTTGAATGGTATAATAAACCGTATATAAATTTTATCAAATTGTTTGCATTGTATTATCAGTCGAAATGACAAAATTTACAAATAACTATTGTAATACAATCTGTTAAAATTCTAAATTTAGATTGTTTCAAGTATAAATTTTTATCGATTAGGAATATATTTGTTTCAAATCAACATAATAATAAAAGCCAGGAATTTAACATTTTTTTTTATTTATACACTTGTAATCGTTGTTGACGTAAACCGAACGAAATGTCAGTGCGTATGTTTTTTCGATAAATATATGAATCAAATTGTAAAGCGCGTATATATGAGATGTATATATATACATCTTCTCCGTTATTTTAAATAAATATTCATGTACCCAATATTCTGCATTGCTTCACAGTGATTTGAGCATTAAAGTGACATGCTGGTCCAACAAGGATTTTTTACGCCGAAATCAGCGACAAATTTGCATTTTTTCAATTTCTACTCCCACGCATGCACGCTTCTATTTCATAATATATTGCAGAGTGCGAAGGATAAATTGGATTTACGCGACAAAGACGGTCCACATCGTGTATTTATACATACATCCATGCAGGAGACCAATAGACCTTTTCGTAGATCTGGTTACACCGGGTGCCTTCGGAGCATTCAACACAGGAATGCCATTGCACTCGTTGGCCCATACGCAAATACTCGTACAAGGTTCATAGGACGAACGATAAAGAAGGAGACAATGGAGATCGCGAACAAAGGCGATAGGAAATACGAGGGTACCGCGATTCAATATACGTGTACAATACTAGAGTGTCAATGATGCCACGATATTTTCGGTCGCATTCCTCCAAAACACGTTTAACGAGATGTTCAAATTCTTACGATCATCTAAAGAAATGCACCAGACTCTTCTTAACGAAGTTCCATTTCTATTTCATAATTATAAATAAATTTATTACAATGTATAAATAGAGAAATCACATATAAATATTACAGTAAATATGTGTGAGAGATTATTAATTAAAAAAAAAATATTTTTCATTAAGTTAGTAACAAAAAAGGGTTACTTTTGTATATAAAAATTAAATTTTAATCGTGCACTCTTCTCGTATTTCTTGCGAACAATTTTATAAGCTTCAAAGTCCACAGGAAAAGAAAATTCAATCTTGATGGCTGAGTTAAGGAAGTGATCTTGTTTTTGCATCTTCCGCCTGTCACGTTTCTTAACGTATTTACAGCGGGAATTAAATATCTCGATGAAAAGGCAGAGAACGCGAGGGACCTAATTTCTGCGACGTCCGGCCGGATTTCGCCTGGAAAAAAAGGTCGCATTTTTTTTCTTCTCCTCTCTCTCTCTCCGTAAGAAATCGCCGCGAATTGTACTTTCCAATCGTATAAATCGATCGTTAACGTGAGTGTGGATCGCGCCGCGTGCATTCGTTCCACGTGGAGTCTGTGAAACGGAAAACGTGAGCGGATCAGCCGGTTCGAAACCACATGTATAATAGGCCTGTCGAGGAAGGTCTTCGAGAAGAATCGCTTTTAAAGGGACTGTTCAAATAGCTAGTAGGAGGAGGCATTTTCAAGAAAACAGACACTGCGAGAGAGAGAGAGAGAGAGAGAGAGAGAGAGAGAAAGAGACAGAAAGAGAGAGAGGAGGGAGGGTCCGAACTAACAATAGGTTTCGAAGAAAAACTTTCCAAAACTCGTGAATTCCTTTAATTCGAACTAAGTGCATTCCTACCGTCGAGGGGTCGACAATCTCGGTTGAGGGAAGACAAGTTCTACCTGGTTCTATTTGGAAAAATGACAATAACGGGAATTGGCTGCGTCGTACTTTTGTGCGCATGAAACATTTTAGCGAAATATTGAACGGAATCAAAGGGATGACAATATTACGGCATTTATAATGACGGTGATCGGTTATATAAAGTAAATTAATGATAGCGATAATTATCTCGCGTGTCGTGTGTTGGAGCTTTTTATCCATGTGTGTTAACTGAAAGCTAAATTAAGTCACAAGAGCTATCGCAATATTGTACTCATAATGTCTATCAAGTGCTCGATATCGAAAATAATAATAAATTCTTTATTAATATTCTGTATTTAAAAAAAAAGTTGTTAAAATGCGATGCATGCTTTCGCCGTCTATTCAAACTTTTATTTAAAAAGAGAGAGAATTTTCCCGAGAAAACGATTTGAACGATTTGATTAAAAAGTTTTCTCGAATTCTTCAAGTTTCGCAAACTAAAAATTTGAGATCCCTCTTACGAAAAGTCATAAGACGAAATATGTCCGAAAAAGTTGTTTTTTCACATGAAACGCGTGCGTGTGCGCAGCATTTTTTTAATGTTAAAAGCTCGGTCTTTTTCTCTTATTTCATATGAAATAATGCGGAAATTTTAAATCGTGCCCCGAGAGAGTGTCGCTTTCCACAGAATGCATTTACGACGACGCTACCAATTTGCAGTAATTGCGCCGAAAAATTCGCGGTCCGCGAGAAACACGAGTGAAAGTATCCTGACGAAACAACTCGCGGGAGGAATGCGAGCCGTCTAATAATGAGCGTATCAGCGTCGCATATCTCTATATACAAATCGTGACGCCTGCGAAAGGTCACTCTTGCTTTCTCAATTAATTTCTCCATTCATGTCTTCATTTTTATCGTATCATCATATTTTCTCACCGACTCGCCGCTTATTCAATAGAAACCGCTATTCACTCGTGTTTTTTAATAATATACCGCTGCATAGTCGTGCAACGTTATTATTACGTTAGTGCCAGATGATTCAAATCCGCGCGAATATGCGGCAAAATGCGATGATCGAACGCAATGGCAGCGTATCGAAAATGTCGCAGATTACATTATATTTACAATATCGACATTTGGAATCGCACGACGATAAAGTTTCGCGCAATAAACGACAGCGAGTATCGGGAATTGGTCGCTTTTTCGAGTTGACTCGTCGGTGTCAACGCGACAAAGCCGATAATTAAACGTCGCAACTCTTAAGGTCGCGCGCGAAAAGGACACAAATATCAATCTCCACGCTCGATAGAGATGCAATTTATTTTTGTAGCGATAATTATTGCAGCGACCGCGGCGGAAATCAAGTTTCAACGTTAAATTACGACGCGCGTTTAACCGCTCGCATTTAACGAAAGATCGGGGCGAGCTCAAGGCCCGAACAATTATTCGCGTAATCGCGTGCGAAATATGCCTTTGAGATTATGTAACTCGAGTTACACACACGCGGGGATTTTATTAGATGGATGCCATACATTTCGCGCGATTCAAATTCCAACGAAATTTTTTACATTTCGCGCAAAATCTCTGCAGACTCTCCGCGCGCTTGACACGACGATAGAATTTCTTTTTGTCCTACAATGGATTTATCGATGTTCTATGTTGTAAATGCGAGAGAATGGAAAATAATTTGTTGGAACAAGCGCAATTTTGCGATGGAATAATATAAATCTTGTTACGTAAACTTTTACGAAATGTGTAAAGCTTGTTATATAAACTTGTCACGGATGTGCTATTCAATTACAGCTTGAAAACTATAGCTAGATTAAAGCCAATA